TAGATGTTCTATTCTCCTAAAATTACACCGTCTTGAATGTAGATCTTCCCATAACATTTTGCAAAGCTTCTGAGAGAAGAATCTCATCAATCCATCAAGTTTGCTACTGCTCTTCTCTGAACTTCTATATACTATACAAGCTTTTATGACTTAATACACTCATTTTGTGACTAACAAAATGAATCAAAGTCCAAAATACAAGAATGAAATGAATATACTATTGCAGAATTTCATGTACAGGTTAGGAAATAGAAATGCAATTGCAGCCAAGATATCTATGAAAGGGTAAGTGAACTCTTCAGAAAAAAGCATCTGAAATGATGCCAAGACTGTCAATATTATCGCAATTCATGCTCCTCTGAGGTCACCAAAGTATTAGCTGCTGCCCTGACCTTTTTAGGAAAAGATGGACAAGAGAAAAAGGACAGCAACCAAGAATGTTAGTGCAGTATGCCACAGGGAAAACAGGCTCCAAACAAGAGTAAAGGTTGAAAGGTAATGAAAGTACTTAGAAACAAAAGATGGAGAGAAAAAAAACCACACACACACAGAGGTGTTTAACTTCTCAAGTATCCACTTGATTCATGATTCTCCAAATTCTGCGAAAAAACTACTACTACTGCAGCTGAGCTAGAGCTCTAAAGACATGTTTGAATTATGATGCTCTAGAAACTTTTGTCCAGATTGGTGGGTATTCATGAGCTTTTTCTAACTTATATCCCTTTGTGCAAAGGTTTCTACAGGAGCACCGAAGTAGTAAGATCCTTCTGTTTGGTGCACAAACACACAAACATCTCATCACCTGGTAGTCCCAAAGATCATGCAGTCACTCATGATTGTGGCCACCTATTTTGTTATGGACAAAAATTCTGGGGGAACCATGACAGAGGAATCAATGAGAGAGATTCTATGAAAGACATAACAGCTCAATGACTTAACTTCCTCAAGGCCTGGTCCACAATAAAACATGCAAAGTTAAGGACGTGATAAATGTCTCTCAATTCTGACTCAGTTCTTCCAAACACTGAATCTCCTAGATGCAGAAGAAATTGCAAGGTTAAGACCAGATAAAATCCAGAGTACAAGAATATGGAGAATTAGGTGAAGTTTACATTCTAGGAACAAAAGTGTTGGAAACTGAAAGAGGAAAAGAATGCTAAGAACAAAAAAGATGGATGAGGAAATATCTCTCAGTAAGGAAGATGTTAATGGTAACTAGGTTGATACGCATCACTCTTCCAATAAAGAAGAGCATGAAAATCTCCAAGAAGCTGAACAGCTGGCAGCGGTTTAGCTTTAGCGCCTGCCTTCGGCCGGGGGCCTGATCCTGGAGACCTGGGATCGAGTCCCACATCGGGCTCCCTGCAGGGAGCCTGCTTCTCCCTGTGTCTCTGTCTCTGGCAGGCACCAAACCGCTGAGCCACCCAGGGATCCCACAAGGACAAATTTTTATACTGATTATACCAGAGGTATATATATCATATACCTCTATGTTGTCTCAACTTTATCCTGAGCAGTGCTCTAATGAGACACTCTAGCATATTGGGAGCCTGGGTACAGACACCAGAGTGCATGGATTCAAATCCCAACTGCATTAATTGGCTGATAAATTTGACCAGTTAATTTCTCTGTGCCTCAGTTTCTTCATCTTTAACTATGGATACTAGTACCTGTATCCACAGAGCTGCTTCAGGTATTAAATAATACATGTAAAGTATTGAAAAACTACCTAGTACACAATAAGTGCTCAATAAATGGTTTCACCACCACCAGCACCACCACCATCTAGCATCTATTATCCCTGATTTTTTTTAATCTTAACTAGTAAGACAAATCAGGAAAACATTGGTTCATCAAACCCCTTTCTAGTAAGCTCTTCAAAGCAGAAAAGATAAATGTATTCAATAGCCAAATAACAATCTGAGCTGTTTTTTTTAATAAATTTGTTTTGTATTGGTGTTCAATTTGCCTATATATATATATATATATATATATATTTTTTTTTTTTAAGGTAGATTACACACAGGTGTGTCCAGCTGGCTCAGTCCTTGCAATTTGTGATCTCAGGGTCATGAATTCAAGACCCATCTTGGGGGGATCCCTGGGTGGCGCAGTGGTTTGGCGCCTGCCTTTGGCTGGGGGCGCGATCCTGGAGACCCGGGATTGAATCCCACGTCGGGCTCCCTGCACGGAGCCTGCTTCTCCCTCTGCCTGTGTCTCTGCCTCTCTGTCTCTATCATGAATAAATAAATAAAATCTTTAAAAAAAAAAAAGACACATCTTGGGTGCAGAGATGAACTTAAAAAAATAAAATCTTGGGGATCCCTGGGTGTCTTAGCGGTTTAGCGCCTGCCTTAGGCCCAGGGAGTGATCCTGGAGTTCCAGGATCAAGTCCGGCGTGGGGCTCCCTGCATGGAGCCTGCTTCTCCTTCTGCCTGTGTCTCTCTCCTCTGTCTCTCATGAATAAATAAATAAAATCCTTAAAAAATAATAAATTAATTAAAAAATAAAATCTTAAAAAAAAAGACTACAAACCACCACTTAACAATATGAGTCCATTTATACAAAAACAATCGCTAGGGGATCCCTGGGTGGCGCAGCGGTTTGGCGCCTGCCTTTGGCCCAGGGCGCGATCCTGGGGACCTGGGATCGAGTCCCACATCGGGCTCCCGGTGCATGGAGCCTGCTTCTCCCTCTGCCTGTGTCTCTGCCTCTCTGTCTCTCTCTCTCTGTGTGACTATCATGAATAAATAAATAAATAAAAAAAAAAATAAAAAAAAAATAAAAAAAACAATCGCTAACATATTCTGTAAGAATAATCACAAAACAAACCCCTCTGAGTGGTGTGATTCTGGACAATTTTTACTTTCTTCTTTATACTTTTCATTTTAATTTTCTACGTTATATATGCATGATTTTTAACAAAATAAAGTAGGAGTCAGCAAGCTTTTCCTATCAGGGGCCAGATAGTATATATTTTATGCTTTGCAGGCCATGAGTCTCTGTCCCACTACTTAATTCTACCCTTGCACTGCAAAAGCAACCACAAACAACATCAAAATGAATAAAGATGGCTATATCTCAATAAAAACTTAATTTACAAAGACAGCAAAACTTGCCCCACAAGCTTGTGGGCCCCTGAAATAAATCATAAATAATATATTATATATAAATAAAATCAATTTCATTTGGAACACAAGAAACTGCAGCAGCTAAAATGACACTACTGGTGGGAAAAAAATCCATCCATTTATTTATTCGTACTAGTCTAGGAATAGAAAAACTCTCTTTTAGGCTCTGGAAATCCTTTTCTCATAGCTAGTGTTCAGATAAGAGAAAATTTGCTATTAGGTAGCCTATAAAGTTCAGGTATGAACGTATACTGGTGGGTATCCAGTTACAAATAAAAGCTAAAAGAAGTATCTTTCATATTTTAATCAATCTGAATTTTTTTCAAAGTTCATATTAATTCAGCACCAAGTAGCTGCCACCACAAGCATGCAAGTCCCAACTACTAATGAAATTGTTACACATTGTCATCAGTCAGCACTCCAACAAATTTGTGAGAATGCATGAAAACATCTATGAACAACAACATAAGAAAAGAAATTTCTAGGCAGCCCGGGTGGCTCAGCCGTTTGGCGCGGTCTTCAGCCCAGGGCTGATCCCAGAGACCCAGGATCGAGTCCCACGTCGGGCTCCCCGCATGGAACCTGCTTCTCGCTCTGCCTCTGCCTCTGCCTCTCTCTCTCATAAATAAATAAAATCTTTTAAAAAAGAAAAAGAAAAAAAGAAAGAAGAAAGAAAGAAAGAAAGAAAGAAAAGAAAGAAAAGGAAAGGAAAGGAAATTTCTATGAAATAAAAATCACAAATGAAAATCTTCATTCTATAAAATGAAAAACTAGTAGTTTTTCAAATTATCAAATTCTGGTTGTTTTTTTTTTATCAAATTCTAACAGAATGAGAGTGAGAGGGTGATAAAAGGAGACCAACGGGTGGCCTTTAATAAGAAAACACTTCAAACTTCAGAAACGACAGTCTAAGATCTTCCCTCCAAAATTAAGGCTTTGGGTTGAAGAAATCATTTTTAACATTTCATTGAGTAGCTCTGTGATCAAATGATTTTAAATGCTACAAAAGATCTCTTCGAGTTTTAAACGGTTTCTTGGGAGTTGGGGGACTGTCTTTGGAAGAGATCTAATGGGATTAACAGAAGGCTGAGAAATCCAGAATCTAAAAATAAAGTATCAAAAGGCCATCCCACTAAAAAGAATGCCAGCAACCTGCACTCAAGCTACCATATCCAGTACAATTCCGGCCGGACATCTGAATCTCCCAAAAGTCACAGCTGGGCCGTCTCATCTAGTTGCCAAATTCCAGAGACAAACGTGTTTGTACCTAACGTCAGATGCGAGAGGGAGAAGTGGCTCGCTGTCAGTTCCCACTCCGAACTCTCTCACAGACCCCTGGAACTGGTTTGAACCCTGTTTTCACTCGTTCTCAGCGCAGCACACAGGGACAGAGGAAGCGCCAAGAGGGGCTTGGCAAACCAGGGCCCAAGGCACTATCCCCAGTCGGCTGCCTGGAGCGCCACCGAAGGAAAGGTAGAAAAATCTTCCACCCCGAGGACTATAAAAGTAGCACTGGGCAGAACCCGTTCGAAGCCTGCGCCAAAGAAATTCCTAGAACTAGTCAGAGACCGAGATGAAGACGGGAACGGGGGGGGGGGGGCAGTAGGAAGGGCAACTGCACGCACGGGGAGAGGAGCGGAGGGGGCTCCAGACCCGCGCCGGGGGGGGGGGGGCGACGCGGGCGGGGGACGCCGGGCACACACAGCGGCAGGACGGAGGGCGGATCCAGGCCCCGCCGGACGGCCCCGGGGCCACAGCGCCGCACGCCGTGCCCCGCGGCGACGCAGGGAGGGAGGCCAAGTTGAAGGCTGGGACCCGCGCGCGCTGCCCGGCCCGCGCCGGCAACACTACCCCCCTCACAGCCCTCACCTCCTCCTCGACCCAGGCTCCCTCCGCCCGGGAAACGGCGCTCACACTCCAGAGACCCTCACCCAGAGCTTGTCGCCGCCTCGCCGCGTGCCTCGGACTCCTCGGGAACCACGGCTGAGGGGAGGGGGAGGAAGGGGAAGCGGAGGAGGGAGGGGACCCGGTGGAGCCGCGCCGCTGCCGCTGCCGCCGCCGCCGCGATACCGCGTCTGAGAGCCTGCTCGCGCCGCCGCGACAGCCGCCGCCGCGTCTTCCCGCCCCCACGACTGCGCGTCGCCGTGACGCGCATCGCACGAGGCAGTTCGAACCAATAGGGCCGCAGATCGTACGCAGGCGCACTAGCCCAGACCGGAAACTGCTCTTCTGACCGCTCAAGAATGTGGATGCATCCTGGGAGTTGTGGTTCGGCCGGAAATTCAGCGAAAGCAGGACTGAGCATCGAGACACAGAGAGAAAGAGTGCTACTCGGGCGGGCACACAAATCCCCTTCGTTTTTTCCCTCCCACCGAAAGCGGAAGCAGTTTAGATCAGAAGAGGCAGGGGCCAGCTCGGGGACGCTTTTTCCGGTCTCTATGGATACGGGCTACACACCTTGGGCGGAAGCCAAAATTGAGGGATTTAGACTGGATCATGTTTCTGCCAATAGCCAATATTCTGCTGGGCGTCGTCTGTGAAAGCTTCCGAAATAAGTCTTGGGCATTAGCCAAGTCTTGTACAAAACAATAGCGTTTGCCTTTTATTACCTTAGTAGGCTCTTCAAAAACATGTAAACTCACTCTTAGAATACAAGTAATTCAGGATGATTTGTAAAAGGTGTTCAATGCAATGGCAGATCAGAAGCTAATTCGGCATTCAATACTGTGTCCCTTTCCCAAAGTGAGTGATTTTCTATGTATGAGCTTTCAACGGAGCTCTAACTTCTTAGAAATCAAATAAATGGTTTGGTTACCTACTTATTCTAAAAGAAAAGGAAGTACAAGCTCCCTACTCTCTCAGCCGAAAGCTCGGTTTTTCAATAACCAACAGAATTACAAAAAAAGGGTTTTCACTTTTCCAAACTGGTAATTGTTTCTGTGCCTTCGCTTGGGCTTCGGAAAGGCTTCCTAAGAACAACAATTTGCATTTTTGCATTTTTGGATAGGCGGAGAAACCTGGATAGAAAGTGGTTGGCTTTATAAAAATGTTTTCCTCACGTTCAGTTCTGAGATGAACGTATCACACTCTGAAGAGGTAATTGCTTTAACTGTAAAACCCCTTGTTAACGATTAGAGAAAATCCGTAAGCTTTCAAGAGCGGTTATGCCCATACCTTGCTTGTCCTACCCGTGATCCACAGCAACAGGAAACAAAGAATTCTGGAAAAAGCTGCACAGATCTCATACTAGAAGGCCTAGAGTCTAATGTATGAGGGACTCCCCACTGACCGCCCCCCCCCAAAAAAAAAGATAAAGAACTCTTCAAGCCTGGAAGTGTAAATTCTAGAAATGAGTAAAGTTACTAAAATCACAAAAAGCATGAATAAGATGGTCTTAATACTGGTATTTTAGGCCACCCAGTTAAGCATGCAAGAGATAAAATTAATACAAATTAAATAATAGAAATTAAATTTGAAGGACCAAATTCCCTTCAATAATGACTTCTATTTTTCCAGACATAGATACATAAAGCTTTAGAAATTGAAATCCAGGAAGACATTCATTCATACACTTCCACAGCACATCAGAAACAAAATACAGGCAGCTTTGAATAGCAAATTTAACCCAGTATATCACCTCACATAGCGAAGAGTTGAGAAGAACAAGAGCCTCAATAAAAGATCTGCTGAAGGTGACAGATCTATATAAAAAAGACAATTTAAAAAAGAGATTGTTCTAAGATCTCAAATCTTTTCTTAAATCATCCTCTCTCTTAATGACTTGCTTTGACAAAGTGCTTTACTCTATGAAACTTCCTCTGGAATGGTCCAATGTGTGGTAAAACGTGAAAGTGTTTTCATTTTCCCACCAACATTTTACCTCTCATTCTCTGTCACCTTGATCTCATTCCCAGATCACTATTGCCAATCCCTGACCCTTTCTCTTTTTTATACATTTTTTAAATATTTTATTTATTTATTCATGGCAGACACAGAGAAAGAGAGGCAGAGACACAGGCAGGGGGAGAAGCAGGCTCCATGCAGGGAGCGGGATGTGGGACTCAATCCCGGGTCTCCAGGATCACACCCTGGGCTGAAGGCCCTAAACCACTGGGCCACCAGGGCTGCCCTCCCTGATGCTTTCAATGATAAAATAAACCACATCATTTCCTCAGAATGCTCACACCTTCTCAGCTAGTGAAGATGGTGACACCATACATCCCATACATGTCCCATGTCCATGCTGGCTTCACCCATGTCCCTTACCTAAATTGTCACCATTCAGTGTTCCAAAGCAGATTTCTCAGGCCTGTCTCCCAGGCTGTACTTCAGTTAGTAATCCCTATATATTATCTTATGACTAGATGTTCAAAAACCAAGGAGGAATCAGTAAAATTCTGTATCCTCCAGTGTCAGCTGTGGATCTTTAGAATCTCTGCTCTCTCCATTCTTATCGTGTCACACTTCCCCATAGGAGAGTGGAGTTCTTCATCTTTGGCAGCACTAAGAAAAGAGTCCTGTCCACCCCTACTCCCTATACTAGTCACCAGTGACACAACAGTGCCCTGTGGCACAGCTAGTCTGATGTAGTCATCTCCACAATTATCAGATGTTGTTGACAAGGAGAACGCATCACTGGGTGAGTAACATTCATAATCTATTGTGGCCATCCCAGAAGGAGGCTTCAGTGACATTATAGTATGTTGCTGAAATGGTGATATTGGACTTGCTCTAGGAACAGACTTAGCGTGCATTGTGATATGCAAGTCAATAGACAAGTTGAAGATGTGTCTAAAACAACAAGCAAATGAAGGTACAGCTTTCAAATTCTAAAGGGTAAAAAAAAAAGGCACTCTGAACTCCATTGAACTTAAACTTGAGTTCAGAACTGGTTTCTGTTACTTTTATAAAAAGAAGAGGAATTATTTCATTCATTATTTTTCTAATCAGAGCAATTGCTATTTTCAAAAAGAAGGGAAAAAGTCAAATTATCTGCTAGGTAAAACCAAAATTATCAGTCTTCTTTGAGAGAACTGTTTTATGACTTTCCCCTAAAAGATCACAAAGAGAAATCAGCTTCATTATTACAAAATAGTTAAAGCCCTCTAAACTCTGCTTTTCTCTGCCAATATCTATAAGCTTTTGAAATATAAACATTAGAACTGAAGGGAAAATCTGGACAATATAGAACTTGGACCATAAAAAACATAAGCCAAAAAAGAAAGAGCAAGGAACGTCAAAGCAGTCCCTGTAACTATCTCATATATATGCCGTAAGAGAAGAAAAACTTTCTTCTATCCTCTTATGGTCCACGGCTGGCCTATGAATTAAACTGACATAAAACAGATGTAGAGGAGAAAAGCACGCCAATGTATTAAATATCTTTACGGGTACACGGGAATCTCCAGAAGGAAGGAAAGGAAAATGAAGACCTGCGGAAGACTTTAGACGTAAAAGCTTTTTACACAAAAATTGAAAAACTGTAGGTATGTGACAAGACAAAGGCACTTCCTCTAAAAACAGTAAATTGTGGGACAATGACTAGGAACTATACTGGGCAAACTAAGAGTTACCGTTCTAGGTTTATTTGTACATGTCCATTTTAGCATTGAATCTCAGTATCTGATGATATGAATGTTCTTCTCATGGGATGGATGTCAATTAAACTTATTATGGTGATCACTTTGCAGTATATACATATATCCCATCATGTTGTATACCTTAAATTCAGACAATGTTAAATGTCAATTATATCGCAATAAAACTGGGAGCAAAAGAAGAATGTTCTCTTCCTGATACAGAAAGGGTACCTTTCTCATGGGAAATTTTATGACCTGTTTTTAGATAGAAAGGGTAAGGGTAGAGAACCCTTTGTGCATCTGTTGTTTCTCAAGTGCTCTCAGCTCAAAATAACCAACTCCCCAAAGTGTTATATTTTAGGGTGGCACATTCTGAGCCCCTTCAAATGTAAAACAGTCAAATTGGACTTTGAAGCATTGGGATTCAATGGTATTAGTTGCTTTAAAAATAATCGAGTAGGCGATCCCTGGGTGGCACAGCGGTTTGGCGCCTGCCTTTGGCCCAGGGCGCGATCCTGGAGACCCGGGATCGAATCCCATGTCGGGCTCCCGGTGCATGGAGCCTGCTTCTCCCTCTGCCTATGTCTCTGCCTTGTCTCTGCCTCTCTCTCTCTCTGTATGACTATCTTAAATAAATAATTTAAAAAAAATAATCGAGTAATTTAGGGGGATCCCTGGGTGGCTCAGCGGTTTAGTGCCTGCCTTTGGCCCAGGGTGTGATCCTGGAGTCCCGGGATCAAGTTCCCATATCAGGCTCCATGCATGGAGCCTGCTTCTCCCTCTGCCTGTGTCTCTGCCTCTCTCTCTCTCTCTCATGAATAAATAAATAAAATCTTTAAAAATAATAATAATCTAGTAATCTACATGGCAAAATTAGAGTGAAAAGCATAAGTATCTGTATTCTGGCTTAATTGCAGTTACAGTGATATCAAATATATATTGATAATTATCACAGTCTTTGATTTGAAGGTTTTCGAGGAGTCCGTTTCCAACTCTTAGAGAAACATCATAACACTAAATTTCCATTTAGGTCACATTTTAGTATTGTTTAAAACTGAGGATAAAGAGCAGTGTAAACATTCTCATAATTACACAAATTATAACAGCAGCTCCACAAACACCAGTTAAGTAACATAGCTCTGAGGAAAGAGCAGGAGACTGAGAACATTACTAGTGACTGTGCTGCTAACTGACTCACTGTTTAACTCTGACCTATGTGCAGTTCCTGTTAAGTTTTGATATTTTCATCAATGAAATGAAGGTGTCTATTAATACATTTTTTAAATGGACAGAGAAAAGAAACACACAACTTTATGAAATGTACTTGCTGGTGGTAAGGGGTGAACAATAAGTATGGGAATTAAATACTTCACCTTCATTAGTAATAGTTCATCTCTAATATAAGAAAACAGATAAAGCAAATGACAGATGTTTAACATCACTTATTAATGCTGGGTGATGTGTCTTAGAGTCTTTAGAGTCTTCTCTAAACATTTTTTTAACAAACTTTTGAGTAAGTTATTTTATTTTA